TGACCACCCCTCCCCCCCGGCAGGTTCTGCGGGGAGTGTTTGCAGCCCTGCCTGCAGGTGCCGTCGCCGCTGTGCCCGCTCTGCCGCATGCCCTTCGACCCCAAGAAGGTGGAGAAAGCCTCCAACGTGGAGAAGCAGCTTTCCTCCTACAAGGCGCCCTGCCGGGGATGCAGCAAGAAGGCAAGTTCCCCCACCTCCCCTCCCCTCCCCTCCCCCGGGGTGGAAAGCCAGGGGTGTTTGGCGTGACTCCCCCTCCCTCCTTCCCAGGTGACGCTGACGAAGATGAGGGCGCACGTCTCGTCCTGCGGCAAGGTGCAGGAGCAGATGGCCAACTGCCCCAAGTTCGTGCCGGTGATCCCCACCTCCCAGCCCATCCCCAGGTAGCGGCTCCCGTCCAGGGGGGTTTTAGCCTGCAAAAAAAAAAAAAAAAATAATAATAAAAGCCTCCCACGTTTAAACCCCGCCGTAAAGGTGATGCAGCGTCCGGGGGGCGGTGTTTGGGAGCCCTGTTGCACCCCCGCGCCTGGGAGGAAACCCCTCGAGGCAGAAGGCAGCAGATTGGGCTGTTAGAAACGAGCTGCCATGCTTTTTTTGACGGGGGTGTCTGAGGTTCGGTGCGTTGCCGCGGTCGGCTCACGCGCCGCTTTGCTTTCAGCAACATCCCCAACCGGTCCACGTTCGTCTGCCCGTACTGCGGTGCCCGCAACCTGGACCAGCAGGAGCTGGTGAAGCACTGCATGGAGAACCACCGCAACGACCCCAACAAAGTGGTGAGCCTCGCCCGGCCCCCCCGGGGCCCTCTCCAGCCTGGGGAGGAGGGCGCGTCTGGCCGGGGGCGCTCGGACGGCTGTTCCCGGGAGCAGAGCGCGAGCTGCATGTGGGGCTCGTTTCTCGTCTGAGAGGCAGGTGCAGAGTTGGGTTTGTTCGCTCGATGAGCTGTGGGCTGGGCTCCTGTGCCGTGTGCCTTTAGTACAGCCGGCTTCGTTGGGTCAGCCCCAGCCTGGTCCCTTTGGCACGGACCTCGGACCCGGACCTCTCCCCTCCCACCCCGTTCAGCCTGGAGACCGCAGGGAAGAGCATAGAAACGCAGCCTCCTCAGGGCGGTGCGTGTACGTGGCTTGAGTGTGCCTGTCTGCAGCCAGACGTGTGGTCGTGGGAGGTAGAGGTTTTGGGGGTGGGGGGGGTGACATGGCATGCGGTGCCCATGCAGGAAGCTGACATGGGCATGAGCTGCTGCTGGCCTGGTGGGAGCAGGGGGCAGGGCTCCCCCAGGCTGCAATCCTGTCACTGCTGCTCTCTCCTTGCCACCGCAGGTGTGCCCAGTCTGCTCCGCTATGCCCTGGGGGGATCCCAGCTACAAGAGTGCCAACTTCTTGCAGCACCTCCTGCACCGGCACAAGTTCTCCTACGACACCTTTGTGGTAGGTCTGCGGCAAGTCAGCACTCTGCTCACACGAGGCCCGGCCTGGGTTTGGTCCCTGAGTCCGCTGCCCACCTCGCCACGCTTCCGGGCACCCAGGAGCTGCCTGCGTTCCTGCCGAGCCCTCTGGGACTGAGCTGCTGGGTCCTGGATCCCTGGTGGAGGGGACCAGCTAACAGGGAATCATTGTTCTCTTCCCCGTTGTGGCCTGAAATAGCGTCTGGTTTTAGATCACAGTGCGCTGTTGGGGACACGTAGCCTGCAAGGGTTGGCCCGTCGGCCCTGGGGGTAGGGGCATGAGTCTAGAAGTAACTGTGACAGGAGCTAATGTGCAGGATTCATAGGAGGCCGTGTGCATTGGGGTGGGGGCAAGGCTGTCTGGAGCCCTGGCTGGAGCAAGAAACAACGGACACAAGCTAGCGGAGGGTAGATTCAGGCTAGACATCAGGAGGCGCTATTTCACCGTCAGGGCAGCTAGAATCTGGAACCAACTTCCAAAAGAAGTGGTGCTGGCTCCTACCCTGGGGGTCGTTTGACTGGCCGAACGCCTGGCTGGGGTCGTTTGACCCCAGTGCTCTTTCCTGCCATGGCAGGGGGTCGGACTAGATGATCTCCTCAGGTCCCTTCCGACCCGACCAACTATGAAACTATGAGCCAGGTTGTCATGTTGCCCTCCCCGGTCCTTCCCTCCACTTTGGCTGATAGAGGAGCTGTGCTTACGTGGGCGGGCAGCCCAGGCCCCAAAGAAGCCAGGAGCTGCCAGCTAGGCAGTGGGGGTAGGGGGAAGTATTCACAGCAGTGCTGTCTTGAGGGCAGTGCTCACAAACAGCCCTGGCTCAGCCAGACTTGTTCCATCTCCCTCTTGGGCAGCCACCTGCATGCCGGCACCAGTTCGTCTTGCAGGGGAGAGACCAGGCTCAGGGTTATTTACACGTTCTAGCTCTAAAGGGAGCACAGCTTTAGGCTGAAGGAAGGTGTTGGCAGCTGTCTGCTTGTTCCAACACTTTCCAGCAGGGCATCTGCCTTCAGGAACACAGCCTGGACGTAACCGTGCTCGCCTGAGCCGCGCAAGCCAAAAGAACTGGATGCAGGGGATAGCAACCAGCCCCAATGTCTTGCAGTGCAGGAATTACATGGGGAAAGCAGTGGCTGCTGCTCCCTCCGCTGCCCCAGGGCAGGTGCTAACACTCCAGGGACCGCATGGCCCTGGGGCATATCCCTTAGCACCCTGAAGAGACAGATCCCAGGTGGGCTGGGGCAGCAGGGGGAAGTGCCAGCTCCTCTGACTGGCGTGTCTCGTTCCTTCGCAGGACTATAGCATTGACGAGGAGGCAGCACTGCAAGCTGCGCTGGCGCTCTCCCTCTCTGAGAACTGATGGCCATGGCCAAGCTGCAGCGGGGCCCTCGACCTTCCACCCTCCTCTGCACTGGCCACTTGCCACTGTAACCAGCGAGGCAAGGAGCTCATCCACCCTGGCATACTCTAGCGAGTAGGCAGCCCATCCTCTCAGCCTTGCACCTTGTTGAATAAGGTGGGAGCTTTCAGTGACATGACGGAGTGGGGGCCAGAGCGACCTTGGCTGGACAGGACGGGGACCCTTCCCTGCTGCCAGGTTTCTTCACTGGGACATTCCAGATCCGGATAATGGAGTATGCATCGATCTATTTATTACTAGATGCTTTTTGGGCACCGTCTACTCTCTTCCTCTTTGCAGTTTAATCGGTACGTCTATTAGCAACGTGTTCAGGACCACGTGGCCTCGTCAGGAGCTCTGCTCATCCCCTGTTTTCTCTTTCCAAAGCACGGAGCAGAGGGGGTTTGAGCCCGGGAAGGGCACAGATGGAGACCCCGGCCCTCCACAGCTGAACGGCAACTGCTCGCGCTCTCCCCCACGTGGGCCCAGACTAGAAGCAAGGCGGCACTTGGGCTACAGCGGCGGTGCCGTGAGGACAGGCGTACTGGAAATCTGTAGCTAGAAGCAGGGGGAGGCCCTGAGCCCTCCTGCCATCCGACGACCTTCAGTCCAGTTCTCCCCCTGATCGTTTTGTACTGGCTTTTTGTGATGCAAGGAGTTCTTGAATTTTTCTACATTAACCCATGTGAAACCTTTTCGCATTTTCTAGGGCCAAGGTGAAGCGGCAGCTCCTCTTCATGTTGCAATACTGGTGTCTGGCTAGGGACAAGAGTATTTTTATGGGACATTATTAAGAGAAAAACAAAAGTCTATTTTTCAAAGCTCATGCTGCAGGTTGGAGAAAGAGGGCGGGGGTGACGAGCAGGGCATTATCTTCCTGGAGGCCTGAGCGACAGAAAGAAAGGCGACTCTGTTGGTTTCAGACATGTTGGTTTATCTCCAAGAGTTTTCCATTGGGCATCTCTGCAAAGAAAGCTGAGGCTGGCGTGCGGCTGAGCTGGGGCCAAGACAGTGGGTGCAATGCCAGGAGTTACTCAATATTATGCGAGCTCCAGGTTTCAGCCCATTTTTGGTCTGCAAGCAGTGTTAGCTGGCTTCTGTGTAGTGATGAGGGTCTCTGCAATCTGCCGGAGCCTGGCAGGCATTAGAGTGGGGCTGCTTTGGTTCTCACCAGGCAGAGATTTTGGGATGGTTGCAGTGATCTCTGTTTAAAGGGATACCTATGGCTTAGGCTTCTGATGCCTGTGCTTCCACTCGTGGTGCTGAAAGCTCCCTTTCAAATCCTTTATTGGGACCTTGGAAGTTTTGAATGTGAAGCTGGAGCATGGGGACCCCCCAGCTGGTTGCCGTGAGCTGTCAGGATTTGCTTTTGAGAGAAGGGAATCCTTGCCAGCCAGCAGACTTAGCCAGTATGTGGGTGGCTGGGTGGACTCTAATCCCCAAGTGGCATCAGGAGCCTGTCAGCAGGAGCAAAGCCAGGGATTGGGGTTATGCCGTCCCCTGAAACAGCAGGGATAGGGTGGAGGAAGAGGCCAGCTCTGGGCCTGATGGGGTGCAGCAGGTCCCAAGCAAGCACTGCAATGCCCACAGGCTACGCTGATACCCATGTTCATTGGCCAGTGCTTGCTTCGGCGCTTGCAACAGAATTTAGCGCACACCCTGTGCCCTCAGCATGAGCAGGAAGGGCCTGCTCTGTGCCAGGCTGTGCACCCCTGCGCCCTCCGGCTGGATGCCCAGATCACTGTCCCTTGCAGCCCAGCTGCTGCATGAGCCTCTCGGGGTATGGGGCAGATCTGGCTGAAGCCTGACACTGGCTTTTAGCAGCTGTGATGTTTCTCCTTGGAGTGGCGCAGCCAGCAAAGCAGACCAGGAAACACAAAGGCGGCAGGGCTGGGCAGGAAATGCTACTTCCCGTGCGCTGCAGCTGCTGTGGTTTCATCTCCACTGCCCCCAGCGCGGTGTCTGGCCCTTGGAGCAGGCAGGGGGGCCTGGACCTGTTGGCCTCTAGTCGCAGCCCTGTGCCACCTGCCTCCGTTCCTAGTGGGAGCCTGGGCTCCCAAAGGTGGAACGTAAGCCCTCGTCCCCAGGCTTCCCATCTTGACTGGGAGCCTGATGCCTGTCCCTCCATGCCCTAGAGTAGCCTCTTCTTTCCCAGGGTGTCGAGGCCGTGGCTCTGCGGGGCGTGTGCCCAGGAGCAGGGCTGAGCTGGCTGGGAAAGCTGCCCCATCCAGCTCCCCCTCTCCTGGCTGCTCCCGGCTTGGGCTCGTGGGTGCTTTTGTCCGGTCGTTCGCTGTTCTTGTCGTTCCCAGCAGAAGCCTCCAGGGGGTGCAGCTGTCCCGCTGGATCGGGGCCCTCCCTGCGCGCTGTGTCCTGTCCTGGACCTTGATGCTGTTGGAGTGCAGCCCCCCGCTGCCTGCAGACACCCCTGCCCATGTCCTCATGTCCCAGCTTGGCAGCCAGGCTTACTGGAGGGTCAGTAGCATGCCTGGCAAGGCGGCATGGGGTAGCGGGTAGAGCTGCGCCTTTGTCTTCTCGGCTACTTCAGTGGCTAGCAGAGCAGCCTTTTTGCTTCTGTGCCTCTGTTTCCTTATCCGTGCGCTGCCCGGACACTACTGTCCTTGGGTTTGCCAGGATGGCACCTACCCCTTCTCACAGTCTGCTGGGGCTCTTGTGTGAAAGGCACTGGGCACGTGGTAGGGGCATCACTCGTATTCCCCTGGCCTAGGTCAAAGCTGTGCGACCCAGGCGGTCTCTGCAGTTGCTTGCTGGAGCCAGGCAGGGCTCTGATGTGTGGGGGGGGAGGGCAAGTTCCCTTCCCCTGGGAGGTCGTGTCCCACCTGCTGCACCTTGCTGGGTGGGTTCCTTTGCTCCCCCGCTCCCCAGCACCAGACAAGCCCAGATCTCCATCTACCTTGCTGGGTGGGTTCCTTTGCTCCCCCCCTCCCCAGCACCAGACAAGCCCAGATCTCCATACAATGCGGAGTGGAGGGCAAACACTCAGCAGAGACAGGCTGATCCAAGCAGTGCCCTGGGCGTCTGAGTCACCGCCTCTCCGGTGGGGGACGTGCTGGACAGTGCCGCCCTGTTCCCGACCTGGGGCTTTCTCCGCCCCCCCTGCCAGTTCTTGTTCCCGGCAGGGTGCCTGTGGGTTTTCCTTGCAATATCCCTCCTTTATTTGAGCCCCCCCAGAGGAGTCTGGCTTCCCAGACGGTCCTCTCTGGGCTGCTGGGTTCTGTGGTTAAAGGGGTTCAGCCTGCTCACCAGCCCAGGTGTGTGTGCGTGTGTGTGTATGTATGTATGTAGGGAGGGTTGCGTTGTGAAGGGCCGGAGCTGAGGATCCCTGCCTGCTGTCTTAACGTGGCAGTGTTCATTAGCCTCGGACCCGTGGTGGCAGCAAGCTGGGTGTCTGGACCCTGCCTCCACTGTCCCCCACCCCAGGCAGCGCAGCCTGCTTTCATAAAGCACTTTAAACCCCACGCCTGAAACTCCCCAGCCCGGTGCCAGCTCAGCCTGGCGCTCCCTGAGCACCGGGCACTGCTGGCTTCCTCTCCTGGTACAGCAGCAGGGGGTGGCGGTCTTGCCCTCCGGGGGCAGGAGGGGCGTCCCGTGTTGCGTGTCGTCTGTCGGATGCGGCATCATAGCCGGTCATGCTGTTCCCGTGTGTTCTTTGTGACTCTTTTGCATTTGACTAGGACTTTTAACGAGACATCCGTTTTTTGACAAACAATCGATGATGTATTTGTAGCGGACCATTTTTTTTCTCAATAAATACAGTTTCATCCAGCGGGGCCGTGGGCCGATTCTCTGGGGGGGTCGGTACCAGCTGGGGGCCATGGGGAGCCTGCCTCTTCCCTGGGACACGGGCTTGGGGGCAGGTGTTCAACCTGCCTCTGCTGCTCTGACCCTGGAGCTGGTGTCTGGCTGGGGGGAGAGGGGCAGCAGGTGATGGAGGGGCTGGGGCTGGGCCTGATCCCTTCACAAACAGACAGCTGATGTCTGTGGGCTGCTCCCTGACTCATTAACCCCTGGGCTGATCCCCACGGTGCCGGGAAGGCACCTGGCAGACGATTTCATCATCCCCGGTGCCTGCTGCCAGACAGGCGCATTGTGTGGGGCCTAATCTCATGACTGGGAGGCAGCTCCAATCTTATCTCCAGCTCACCTCTGTCAACAGGGACTTTTCTGGAGAGGAGAGCTGTGCTGCCTTGCTCCAGACCCTGTTTCCTTTGCTTTGCAGAGCTAAGGACCCTCTGGCCCTGCCTGCAGGGAAGCCCCACACAGGGCAGAGGTCTGCCAGCTCCTGCCCCGCCACTAGCTTAAGGGCAGCGTGGCGAGGCTTCAGCAGTTTAGGCAAGGGGGATGTTGAGCCCGGAGAGTCCTTGACTTCAAGGCCCTGGCAGCCAAGGGAAGCAGGCTGGAGTCTCTCCACCTGCGCCCAGGGCTGCCACCCCTCTTGCCTGGGTTGCTGGGGGAGCTGGCACTGAGCTGCAATCAGTCCCTTCTGCATCATGGGGGGCAGTCGGTGCTGAAGATCTCCCTGGCTGCTCCAGTCCAGCCTCAAACGATGGCAGGAAGAAGGGTGCCAAATCGCATGCAAGCAAAGGGGATGCATGCAGGAGGGGCCCTTTAGCATGGCCAGGGGAAGGGGCTCACAGCCCACCTCCACCCCCCACCCGGGCTCCAGGCGCCTGCCCCCCAGCACAGAAGTGCTGTGGAGCTGCACGCAACTTGGCGTGAGGCATAAGCATCCTGCAGCGCTTGGAGAGCCCGGCTTTGCCCTGCCACGGGGGTCACGAGGCCTCTGAGTCCCCACCAGGCAGCTGTGTTGGGCGGTGGAAGGTGGGACACCCAGCACTGCTCTCCTGGCTGCCCTGGTGCGGACCCAGCGAGGACCCCCTGCTAGCCCGGCCAGGGGGCTGCCCCGTGGGATCCCGCAGCTGCCTGTGTGTACGTCTTGGGGGAGTGGGGTCAAAGTCGGGTAGACCCACAGGGCACCGGGGCCGGCTGGCTCTTTGCTCCGGGGGGGTAAAGGACAGCTTGGGGTCACCCGGGTCTCAGCCTTGGGGCCTGTTCTCAGTCCCTGGTCTTGCTTGGCCCCCACCCACCTCCCTCCCAGGCCCAGGGAAGGGCGCTTCAGCTTGGGCACTCTCTGCCTTGGCATCTGAGCCAGTATATGCTGGGCATCACTCTTCGGTCCCTCGCTTCCTGCCCCTGGGGGCTTGCTATGCAGGCAGCCAGAGGAGATGCGAAGGCTTCCCTGGCTGCGTTATTAGCCACGACGGAGCCTTTCCAGCCCAGACCCGCTGGGCTTCACTGCGGGCAAAGGAGCGTGGCCTTGCCAGCCCCCACGACCCTGGCATCGGCCCCTGCGGCAGCAAGACGGCTGGGAAAGCGCGGCCAGGTGGGTGCTGTCTGATAAGCCTTATCCTCCGGCCTTATCTAGGGCCCGGCTGCTTCAAAGCGCTCTCCCAAGGGGCCCTAATCCTCGTGCCTCCCTGGGGAGCAGATGGGCTGGGAGGTGGCAGCTCCCACCCCGGCCGTGTGCCTACGTCGGTTCGTGCACGCACCCCTGGGGGGCTCCTGCAGCCCCGTGCTACAGCTGGGGCAAACTGAGGCTCGGGGGGGGGCTGATCCTGCCTGCAGCTGGGCTCACAGGGGCAGAGCAGAGCCTGGGCCCCAGCAGGGGGGCGGGGGGGTCTCGCCCATGCACCCGGGCTTGCATGGGGGTGGTGCGCGTGTGCACACGTGCGTGCACCGGGGCAAGGCTGGCACGGCAGAACTAAGGGCTGCAAGCCCCACCCCCTCCCCAGCCTCGCGCTGCGATTGGGCGGCGGGAGGCGCATGCAAATGAGCCGGTGCCTTATGTCCCGGCCGCGCGGCGCAGCGGGGTCCCGAACCCGCGCCCGCCCGGACGCCCGGCCATGCCCCGCTCCTTCCTGGTGAAGAAGGCGAGCAGCACCCGGGTGCCCGACTACGGCCAGCTGCACTCCCGCGCCCACGGTACCGGGGCTAGGAGGGGCTGGAGCTGAGACCCCTGCCCCTGGGCTGCAGGGAGGGATGAGCCGAGACCCCTGGGCTGGAGGGCAGGGGGATGAACCAGGACCCCCGCCCTGTCCTACTTCTTGGGGCACAAACTGCGCCCCCCGCCCAGGGCTGGGGGGGTTCCTCCATGCCTGCGCACCAGCCTCCCCTCTTTCCCCTCAAGGCCACCGGTGCCAGGGCAGGGAGGCTGACCCCTGGGTGGGCATCGTTGGGGGCACGGCTCCAGGCCCACTGGTGCGGCAGCTTTCCCTGCCGGCCCCTTTGGAAAGTCTGAAGGGAGGTGCGGGCCCCTTCGGATCACCACTGCGGGTATTCACGGAGTCCTGGTCGATCAGCGGTGTCTTTCGCAGACCCCTTAGACGCAGTCCGAGGACCCCCGGGGTCTGTGGACCCCAGGCTGGAAACCACTGCCCTAGGGGAGAGGGTCAGGTGGAGGGGACCCGTCCCAGCCCCCGGCCAAAGGGGCCGCTCTGAGCTTCCCCGCTTTAAGGGGAAGCACCTGGGACGGGGTCACGTACGTGGTTTCCAGGGGCACGTCACCTGTGCGGGGAGAGGGATGGAGGGACCTTCCAGCTCCAGGGTAGATGCCACCCGAGCCACGTTTTGGGCTGTTTTGGGGGGACCCGTCCCTGGCACAGCAGCGCGAGAAGGGGAGGCTGCTGCCAGGGCTGAAAGCGTTGGCATCCTGGGCTGGGGGTGGCGAGTTCGGGGATCGGGGCTGGTGTTTCGGGACCTGGCCAGGGGTCACAGCACAGCAGGGTCAGCCACCCGTGGGGTGGCGTGTCCGGCTCATCTCCTCTTGCTTCCTCCGCAGAGGTCATCGGTAGCAGCTCCGGCTGGCGTCCCTCCAGCGGCGGGCAGGCCTTGCCTGCCCCCCTCCAGACCGAGGATGCCCCCCCCTCCGCGCCCTGCGAAGCTGCCCGGCTCTGGGACCGTGGCGCCATCCTCGCCCGCCTCTCCCTGCCTCTCCCGCTGGAGGGTGAGGCCAAGGGGACCCCCGGCCCGAGCCCCCCCAGCCCGGATGTCAGCCCGGCAGACGCGCCCACGGGCACCCCCCTCAGGGACAACCAGAACGACCTCAACCGGCTGAGCCTGCCTCGGAGACGGGTGCCGGAGCTGGGCAGCCCCGCCGAGGGCAGCAAGGCCACCCCGGACAAGCTGGTGGGGGCACCGGGTGAGATCCCTCCGCGGCTGGGGTGCTGCGACTGCCGCGCCTCCTACCCCGCTGTCTGCAGGCACCGCGAGCTGCCCCCCCGGAAATCCTTTGCTTGCAAGCACTGCGACAAGGAGTACGCCAGCCTGGGTGCCCTCAAGATGCACATCCGCACCCACACGCTGCCCTGCCTCTGCAAGATCTGCGGGAAAGCCTTCTCCAGGCCCTGGCTGCTGCAGGGCCACATCCGCACGCACACAGGTGGGCACGCAGCAGCGGGGCTGGGGGCACCTTCCCCCGCTGGCAGCAGGCTCCTGGCAGGGTCGGGCAGGGGGGAGCGTGCTCTGCTGGGATGCTGGGTGCAGACCCCCGTTCCCTGCCCCCCACGAGACTCCTGGCTGGAGGCGCTGGGCTCGGCTCAGGGCTTTGTCAGCCTTCCAGTCCCGGGAAGCTGGGTTTGCTCATACTTTGCTGGGGCCCGATGGCAGGGGGTGGCGGGGAACGACTGGCCTGGCTGCATGGCGGAGGATGAAGAGGGTGTGTGCATTGCAGAGGGGTGGAGGGGGTGGTTTGGAGGGTCCAGGAAAGGCAGGCATCCCCAGGGCCTATCTTTGGTGTCCCTGGGGGATCCTAAGCCCATGTGCTGCAGCCCAGGTAGGACCTTGGGGCATCTGGCAGCTGGGAAACATTTGGCTTGCAGGAAATGGGACATCCTGGCTGCCCCCAGGCCCTGTGTCAGGCTCCGGCGGCTACCTTGGGGGGCTCCCACATCCCCCTGGGAGCCCCCTACCACCCACTAGGGTGGGTGACTGGTTGGCTGCCCCGATGGCTTCTCCTTTCTCTCCCTGGTCCCCAGCCTGAAGATTGGGGCCTGGCATGGCTGGGAGCGGAGGTTCCCATGCAGAGGACTGGGGGGTTCGAGCTGTGGGTGCAATGAGTTGCCGTTCTCTGCCTGGGGTGGGAGGGTCGCTGGGTCCGGCGGCTGGCCTGACGGCATCTCCCGTTGCAGGCGAGAAGCCGTACAGCTGCTCCCACTGCAGCCGCGCCTTCGCTGACCGCTCCAATCTCCGCGCCCACCTCCAGACCCACTCGGACGTCAAGAAGTACCAGTGCCGGGCCTGTGCCAAGACCTTCTCCCGCATGTCCCTGCTGGCGCGGCACGAAGAGGCCGGCTGCTGCCCGGCGTCCTGATGCGCCCACCCGGGGCTGCTCCCAGCAGCCGGGGACAGAGCAACCAGCTTCCTGTGCCCTGCCAGGCTATCGAGGGAAAGGCCCATGCGATGGGCATCTTCAGCCACATGCACAGGGGAGGCCTGGCTGTCCTGCCCGGTACCCACATCGCAGCCAGATGTGGGGGTATCTGTGGGTGCCCAAGGATGGAGAGCAGGCAGCTGGCTTCGAACGCCTTCCAGCAAGCTGTGCGCCAGGACAGATCGGTTCTCCTGGCAGGACTGCGATCCCCGCTCTTGCCCTGTGCCTTGCAGCTGGCTCGACGGGCCTCGCGCCTGCCCGTCCAGCTCAGCGGGGCTGCCTGAGCCTGGTGCCGCTTGCAAGGACCGTGCGCCAGGGACTCTGCTCTCCTTGTCCGGGCTGGGCAGTACGATGCTGCGTGGTGCTGGGGGATCAGTGAGGCGCTGCCCCATCACTGGAGAGCTCCTCTAGCCCCTGCCCAGGTGCCCTCCTGGCATTTAATAAAAGCAATAAACTCTGGAGCATGCTTGGGGCTAGCTCATCCGGCTGTGGGGTGGGGGTGCCGTCTGGCTGCAGAAAGGGGCATCAAGCCCCGGCCCCCCTCTCCAGCCTGCTCTGTGTGCGCACCGGGCGTGTGCGCCCTGCATCCTAACCAGTCCTTGGTGCAAGATGACCCAGGAGACGGTGCTCCCCGGCTAGCCAGGCCTCAGCTGCAGAGCGAGGTCTGAGCACAACGGAGCCGGAGAGCGTGCAGGGGAGACAGCACAATGATGGCTTTGACCCAGGTGACCTGGCAGGAGGAATCCCCTGCTCCTCCGGCTTGAATGACTCGGTGTAGTTGAGGGTGGAGACCTGTCCCTTGCACCGTGGGTGAGTCCGTAAATGCCTCCCAATGCAAGGATCTTGGCTACATCGTTTATGACGAGGGGGGTTTGCTCATGGGCAAATCTCCGTTCACATTTTTGGCTCAGGGCGTCTGAACCCCAAGGCCTCCAGACTTGCACATAGGATGCCTACCGTGGATGCGGGAGTATGTGAAGCCCCAGGCTGAAGAGTCTGGGATGCAGGAGACTTGCCGGCAGTGGTCGTGCCACGCAGATGGGAGCGATTAAGCTCTGCTCAGTCGAGCGAATTTGGAATGGATTTGGCTGATTTAGCCCCAGACACAAAACTTCAGAAAACCCCCAAATGCATAGCAGCAGTAGTGGCCTTAGGGGAGGGCAAACTGGGTGACCACCCAGGGCCCCACGCTTTAGGGGGCTCCAAAATTTTGCAACAATTTGTTTTTGGGGTGAAGTTATTAAAAACTTTGTTCTTTCTTCAATTTATGAATACGTTTCATGGATAGGGCAAAGTGAAATTGAAATCGAAAATGTCCGGCTTGCTTATGGCTCATCAAAATTAAGGGTCCCCAAATGACTCTTCAACCAGAGCCCCAGCACCCCTAAGGCCACCATTGATAGCAGGGGAGGTGGGAGGCACCGGGCCACAGGCGTCCCCTGCACCAACGTGGCATCGGGGTCCACCTCCGGACAGGCTCTTGGAGCTCCTGTCCTAAAATCCCCTTCCCAGGGGTCCCCTGCACTAAGGCTGGTGGTCCCCCAAGAGCCGGAGACCCCAGCTGGCACCCCCAGAGCCATCCCAGCGGGCAGGAAGCAGAGGGCTTGGCCCCTGGCTCCCCCCATGCTGGCACTATAAATAGACCCGGGCACCTGGCAGGAGGTAACTCGATCGGGCCCGGCCAGGCCGTCAGAGGCCTGCTGGACATGGCCAGCTCAGGGTTGGCCACGGGGGCTCCCGTGGCTTTCCTTGCTCGTCTAGAAGCAGTGTGCGCAGGACGTGACATCTGCACGGCGGGTCCCGCTGGGGCTGGAGCATGCCCCATTCAGCCCTGCAAGCTGGGGGCTCCGGGCATGCATCGTCTGTGCCCCCATCCCTGCACCTGGGAGGACCTGAGGGGCACAAGCGGTGTCTTCCTTTAAGCACCCGGGTGCTGTCAGTCCCCAGGTCGGTCTTTGCTGGAGCATCCGGGCAGCACAGCTGGTGGTGCGGGCTGAGGGGTCCGGCTGACTCGGTGGGATCACACCTCCCCTTGCTGTGCGCGCCCTGACGTAGTAGCATCCCCGTTGCAAGGGGCTGAGAGCAGGGAACCGAAGGGCGGGGATGGAAACCCCCTAGCCGTGGCCTGGTGGCTACCTACAGGCATCCCAGAGGGAGTCCGCGGGCACTGCTTGCTAGGAGGGTGGAAAGCGTTTGGGGGAGGAGAGACCCGGGGCCCTGCTGATGTCAGCTCCCCGGGGCCGGCAGCACCACCACGGGGATCCTGCGCCGTGCGCGGCTGACGGGGAGGTTATTCCTAGCACCCAGATGCCTAAAGGAAACTATATTGTAAATTGTCTTCTATTTGCAGGCCCCGATGGCTAAATATGTCCATGGCACCTGTTGCCACGCGGGGCCACGGCGGGGGAAAGAATCTGGCCGGTGCTAAAATAACCCGGCCTGTTTTCCCTTTTCCTTGCGGCGCATGGAAAATGCCGGTAAATATAGCGCCGGGGCGGGAGGGGGGTCGGGGCGGGGCGCCAGCCCCCGGAGCTGACTCGGAATGAATGAATGAGATCTTTCCACTCCGCGCCCGGCAGGCCGGGGCTGTAAACAGCCTGGGAGAGCGCCCGCCCCCAGGCCTCTTCCCCCCCATGGTCACCCAGCTCTGGGACAGGTGCCCCCGCCCTGGACCCCTTCACCCCGCTTTTGCCCGACTCCACCCTTTGCATCGGCCGAGTGTTGGAGCCACGCTGCAGCGTGTGCACGCTCCTGATGGGCCCCCTGGACCAGGTGCGGGGCTGGGGTCCCGCTGGGATGGTGCTGCCCCTCAATCAGGCCCTAATTGCTGGGCAGGGTCCCACCGCCAGTCACCGGAGCTCCGTGCCTGCCCATAAATCCCACTGTCTTCGCCCCATGTGTGCCCCCCCTGCCAGCTCTCACCCACCGGAGCCCGTCGGCAGGGGCTAGGGAGCTCAGGGTCCTGGCAATACAGCCCCCAGCTGTGGGTTTTGGATCCCAGTCCCACCTCTACACCCTGGGTCTCCTTGCCCCCACTTTGCTGGCTTGGCCCTGGGGTGCATAGCACCAGGCTGAGACGGGAGCTGGCAGCACGGAGCAAGGTGGACAGGGCGATGTGCCCGGGGGAGGGAAGCTCGCAGCGTCTCCCCAGCGCCTGCACCCATTGTCAGCCCTGTCCAGAAGCTGCTCGAGGCCAACACCTGTTGTCGATGGGGTCAGAGAGGCCCCAGAGCCTGGTCTAGGGATGCACCAGCCCTGGGGAGCGGAGCAGACAGGGCCTGTGCTCAGGTGGCAAAGGGAGACCGCTCTGATCAAGGGAGAGTGCAAGGTGCACCTGCCCCAGCAGGTAGAGGAACAGCCTGCTTTGCTCCAGCCTCCCCCCAAAGACCAGCTCCTATAAATAGCCGTGCACCGGGAGCCTGGCAGGGGATCTGTGTCCGCTGTGACAGCCCGACTGAAAATAGCCCTGCGGTTACTATCTATACCTGCGCCCTGCCCTCCCGTTACTATCTATACCCGTGCCCTGACCTGCTGCTATCTATAGCCGCTGGCAGCCCCCGGTGGAACCGCTCGCCTTTCCATGAGCGCATGGGTGGAAGCGAGCGGAGCACCTGGTGCGGGGAGGCCAGCTCCAGCTGGTGCCAGGGGGTTGGGGCTGCATCGCAGCGGCAGGTGTCACCCGCCGGGGACCACGGGCATTGGGGTGCACGGGTGGTCCTCGGCCCCCAGCAGCCTTTGGTTTGGGGTTTTGCTGATACAGCAGCTCCCAGGAGCTGAGCGAGGTGCCCCGGGCTCCCGCCGGCCTCCTCCAGTGTCAGCACGAGTGCCAGCACGGATGACCGGCAGTGATGCAAGAGCCTGGCTGTGGTCCCAGGCCCTGGTGCAGGTAGAGGACCTCGCAAGCTGCCTGCAGACGTGGGAGGGCATGGGATGGGTCTCTGCAGAGCCGCTCTGACGGCAAGGAGGGCAGGATCAGTCTTACACGCTGGAGGAGTGAGCTTGGGCTCACGAAAGTTAACGCTGTATCTCTCCAAGGTAGTTAGCCTGGTTCTTAAGGGTTTTAGATGCCCCTCAATAGAAAATGCCAGCTCCTTTTATTGACTATGGAAAAGATAATACAACCATTAAAGACCCCCAGCACATCAGACCGTCTTTAGATCCCCACGTGCAAACGCTGGGGTTGTCCCATGGTTCGGGTTTGAGATTGAGAATCGCTGGTCTAGAAGGTGCCAATCTACCCTGCCTCCTTGTATACCAGGAAATACGGTACATCTTACCCTGATGTGTACGGAGCCACGGCTGTGAAGCTGCAGACGACGCTGGGGTGGCATATGCGGTGGGTGCTATTGGAGGGCATTGCGGCCGCATGCTGAATGTCTTTGCCTTGGTGCAGCCTGGCTTGGCCTTGGGTCTCTGCTCCTTTTTATAGTGGATCCTCAAGGAGCCCTCACGGGTTGAGTTTGAGGAGGAGTTTGCAGGATGAGCTGGGAGACGCTGGGTGCGGTGAGTCAGGGATGCTCACAGAGCCCCCAGGAATCCCTGCAGCCTTCCCGCCCCCCCGGCCACATTCATCGCCGCCAGCTGCTGCGGGGGACCCACCCGCCGGCCTTTTTTGCTGGGATAGCAGAGAAGCAGCCAGCAAACACACAGCCCCCTGCACAGCATGACTTAGAGCCGGTGTGGACGTACCCCAGCTACATTGCCCCAGCACAAGTGTCACCTGCCCACTTCTATCCTGGGATAGCAGTTTGCTCCATACCAACAGGCTATTAACTGCTCCCTGGCACCTGGTGGCAATGCTTTCTAACAGCATCCACTGCATATGCAACCCGTGGCATAGCAGCTTGTCTGGACACTTCTACAAGAGTGGCAACATAACGGGGCCGGAGCACCAGGCCTGCGGCTTCACAGCCTGGGCTCCATAGAGAGCAGGGTGAGATGTACTGTACTTCCCGGTATATAAGAAGTCAGGGTAGATTTGCACCTTATAGACCAACTAAGCTGCCTTGAGATCCTTTCAGGGGTCCCGTGCAATGCTAGCACTGTTAGGAGTGCAAATGTGATTCACAAGACAAACCCAAAGGGATCCAAAGTGTTACAGCCAGTCTTTTCCTGAGCTCTTTGCAATGGAAGAATTGCTGTATTATCTTTTCCATCGTCAAAAAAGGAGCTGGCATTTTCTGAGCGCCGTCTAAAACTGGTGAGGACCACAGTTAGGACTAACTAAATCAGCCAGACATAGATAGCCCAAGCTTGCTTCTTCAGTACCCTGGCAGATAAGACAAATCCCCCCCCTACAAAAGAAGTCTAAACTTAAGACAGGTCTTTTCCCCTGAAGTTTTGAAACAAAAAATAGATTAAATTATTTAAAAAGCTGTCCGACATTCGGTTAGAAAACAACAATTTTAGCCTTTTTGTGGGGGGTGGGAGGAGCGTCTTGTACTAGGAAATATGGTAACTGGGGCAGGCTATCCCACACCAGCCTGGTGGGCCAGGCATCCCTGGAGGAGGCGCAGGGCAGGGGGTGCACACAGGGGTTTGCCCCTAGCCGGGGAGGCGCGGCGCTAGCGGGAGCGATGTGCTCTGGGCAAATCCTCTTTGCTAATTGTTTTCCCATCCCAAGCAGACTTCCCCCGGCCGCCCACGCTAACGAGGCATCCAGCCCCTTAGCCCAACAAGCAGGTGCCTGCTTGGGGAGGCTGCTATATTTAAGCGGCCCGGTGAATCCAAGCCAGGATATATTTATCCCAGGGTGGGGGCTGGGTTTGTGTGTGTGTCGTAGTGGGGGGATTTGCTGAATACTTTCCACTGTGAGTGGCTGGAGGATAAAAATACGGCCCCGGAGCTGGCCAGCCAGCGCTGTGCCAGGGCCCGGCACCGCGCTTCACGCTGTACAGTAAACAGGGCGACAGGTGCTTGCGGCCGGTTGTTGTGGAATATCGTTAAGGAGGTTTGCCGAGGTCGGGGGAGAAAGGGGGCAGCTCGCCTGACCCCCCCACAGGCCACATAGCCCTGGGGTCCCTTTGCTGGGGGCAGTGAGGATTTCACGCCCGCCGTGCTCTCCGTGGCACAGGTCCCCCTGGCCGTGCCCACGCCGGACTCTCTCCCTTCCTGGCACTAAAGTTCATGGAGAGGAGAAGCTGATTCAGGGCTCGTGGCACTGCCGCGGGGAGCACGGATGCTGGTGGGGGGCCGTGGCATCCTCAAGACGG